GACCAATAAAAACGCAAGAAATTATAAAAAATTCATAATGCACAAGCACTAAAACAGAGCGCGGGGATTGCCAGCGAAGGGGGCGCGGACTGCCCAGCCATGACTCACGGCTGGAGCTGAGTGGCAGCTCGCAAGCACGCGAATAAAGCCAACAAAAAAAAAAGGGCAAAAAGGACAACTGAATTCAAATTGTGCAAAGCTTTAAATACAGCCAGAGAGCGCAGTGTAAGACGAATACGAAAGCGGGGGTCCACGTCCAGGTTGGGGAGCTGGAGCCACTCATTAGCCGCGAAGCTCGACCATTTATGGGACAAGCATAAAGTGGGTAAATAAATGCAAGCAAATTGCACAACGAATGCGTTCGCACTGACTCGGACAACTCGGCGGTATCTCGCTGCGCGCAACGTGGCGTATTAGCAATGTAATTTGATTTGATGTTTATGCGCGGGGCAGTTGTGGGTGGGTGGCTGCTGCCGCTGCTGTTGCTTCTGCTGAGTGGTGGTCTGGTGGGTTTCAGAACGGCCGTGATACAGCCGCATAATTGCGTTAAGCGCAAACATACGAAATTATCGCAGTTGCACTGCTAATTGGAGCAAGTGATTAAATTTAATTGCAACAGATAACAAGCAAAAATGCTGCAGGCTAAACACGTGCGACCTGGCCCAGCTATGATGGCCAGCTCTGCCACAATTTATATTCCTTTATTTATTTGTGCCAGTCATTTGGTTATTGTTTTAACGAAATTAACAGAAGATGACTGCGACTGAGTAGTTCAAAGAGAAAGGCAAGTAAAAGCAATAAGGTGTTATTATATATTCATGAAAAAAAAATATATATAATGAGTTGACAAAACTGTTTAGCTGATTGGAATTTGCTATGAGTAATTAGTGTAAAATATGCTTTTCATGTATTTCCCATTTATATAGAAAACAACATCTTTAGCAAATGAAATCTTTGAGATAAATACAAACTGGCAAAGGTTTCAAGGGCTTAAGTCTGCATCAACTAACGACTCAAACAGTCTGAAATAAACCTTTAATGTTTAATTACTTTCATAACGCATTTATAGCAAATATTATTTTACTATTTGCGGTCAGTAAATCGTTTGCGTATTGCTAATAAAAAACCTATATATAAATGCATATTTGAATTACGTCTAACGGTAAAAGTTTCATATCTAAATATTTACGCACGCTATGAATACTATTTCTGTATAGTGAGCGAATGCATCAATGGAACACAAAATATTTATATACATTTTTTTATATTTATTTTGGCAATTTTTTATTTGGCTAGGCAACTATCTAACATGAATGTAAACTGAAATATGCTAACAGCACTTGGGCTAAGCGGCTTTGTCATGCAAATTTATTGAAGGGGTCAGGTGAGGTGAGGCGAGGTGAGTGGAGGCAGAGGGCGACGCTCACACGTCAGAAGTTCAAAAGTCAGCAATTGGCAAAACATTTGAAAGCCACTTTACAAAGCATGTTAAACGGAAGAGTGCACAAAAGTTATTGCTAGAAATACAGAATGCATTTATAAATATGAATGCACATTCAAAATATATATATATATAGCTATATATCGAAATTTATATCTCTTTTTATTGTGTGCTCAATTTCGTTTATTTGCATTTACAGTTTAGAATTTGCTCAGGCGTTTTTCCAATTTACTTTTTCTGCGCTCAAAGCGATTTCCACATTCACACGAATCACAACACTGCAAACTAAATACCAATTTAAATTATCAGATATATATACATATATGTGCATTCGAATTAATGGGAAATTTCTGAATTGCGCTCATAATGCAAATTAGTATTAATTAAAGTCATATAATGATTTCGTTTGGATAATCTCACATGGACAAAAGTCAAATTTAAATATATATATATTTGATTTATATATTTATATTGGATTTAGTCATATCAATTTCATGGCTTTGTGATTAATTACTGTGCAATTAAAGTAAATTAATTGGCACTCAAATCAAGGAAAACTTTTTATTTACTATTGCACTTTATTAGGTGTTAATTAGTGTCAAAAGCGGCTTAATTCAATTTGTAATTGCCAAGTTTATGTTTGCTCAGTTTTCGCAAATGTATATAATTATTTCGACAGTTTAGCTTCCGGCAGGAGTAGAATAAATCTCCATTTTTATTAGCTGCTCTCTCAAATATTTATTTATACATTTTGGCCCTGACTCGAAAACTATATGCCCGAGAGCTACGAATTTTAATGTGTAGGCTCTAATTATGCATAGGCCGAGTTAACACTTTCCATAGTTAGCTCTATTACGACTTAACTTGATAAAAAACTGAAGCTTAAAATTTGTATGAAGCTTAAATAACTTAAAGTGAAGTGTAATAATAATAAACTATATATTTATATCAAAGTAGAGCTCAAATAATATATATATTTATTTAATTTTTCTATTTTTATTTGCAATCTGTCTTATACTAAACAATAAACAAATTTTTAAACAATAATATTACAAAACAGGATGGATTTGACTCCAATTAGATCAATCCATGTATTTACCTAATTTACAAATTTATCTATTTCTATGGGGCAAGTCTAGGACATGAAATAAATAAAAAATTTGAGCATAAAATTTAAATGAAATTTTATTTTAAATAATATACTAAATACCAAATTGATTTTTAAAATTAAATTGATAAAAAAAATGACTAACATAAATTAAAAATAAAAATATATTTTCTAAAACCTCCATCAAGTTTCAAGCTAGAGTATAAGAAATGAGTCACATGACGCGATTGAAAAGCAAAGTTATGAAGTACAAAATAAACCCACTGGAAGCCATTAAATGGCTTCAGTCTAACTGCCAGAGAGCCCAGTCACAACATCTGCTACTCGCATGTAAATCATTTCTATTTAATATTTGAACAAAATGAGTATTTAATTTATGATCAGCTAAGTCTGAGCTGCTCGCTCGCAGCTATCTGCGGCGTCTCACGCTTTTGTCTGCTGAAACGTGTGAATTAACGGTTAAATAACAATAAGAAAACTCTTGACTTACGTTTGCTTTGCGTAGTTTGAGTTTATCTCTCTTCCCTCTCTCCCACTGTCTCTGTCGCTCTTGCTAGCAGCAGCCACAATAAATAAACAGCATTGACCCCGAAACACTTTTCTTATTTATATTTAATTTTTTTATGCGTTTTTGTATTTTTTGATGGAAACACGCGAATTTTGAATTGGGAATTTAAATATGTAAAACGGGTTTGTGAATGTGTTAATTGAATTTGATTCGCGACACTTTCTGTTGATGTTTTTAAAACATTTCACTTTCGATTCGAATACGTTTTGCTGGAAGCATACATAAATAGAGCATATTAGTTTTAATTTGATAAAGAGACAGAAGGCAGGCAGGCACAGTGTGAAATGAGGTAATTTTTATTTAAAACGTACAACTACAAATTGTTTTTTTTACGTCGGGCTAAACAGGTTTTCTTTTCGTATGTAATAAGGCATAGATAAACAAGCGCTGCAATGCGGGCAAATGGAAACCGAAACTGAAACCGAAACCGGAAAGCCGGAGCCACAAGAAAGCCTAGATTTAATACATATTTCTTTTAATTTCTCTTCTTTTTCTTGACAAATTATATGCCTTCATATTCAAATATTAAAATAAAAATCAAGTCACGAAGCAAAGACAAATACAATTCATATCACTGCCTCGCTCGAACACTCATGCAAAGGCAAAGTCAGAGGCAAAGGCAAAGCAAAAGAAATGAAAAGACAACAGACAACAATAAAAACGCAGACAGAGCGAAGCACACAAAAAAAAGAGTTGACGTTGACGATACGCCGAACGTAGGCATAACGACGTAGCGATGTCAAATGTCGCACAAATCCAATTAAAAATAGTTAAAGCGACTTTATTTAAATAAAGAAATAGCTTCATTTGTTTAATAGCCCGTCTGGAATATACATATTTCTCAAGTTTTTGGCGTCATTGCTGCTGTTGCCGCATTGACACAGTTCGCGCTCTCTCGCTCGCGCTCTCTCATTCTTTTTGTTTTTGATTTTTGCCTTTATTTTTTATGCCTTTGCACTCCACGTTGCTGACGCCGTTATTGTGTTGTTGTTGTTGCTATTGTTGTTGCTATTGCTGTTGCTGTTGCATTTGTACAATGGTTACAATTGACATGCACAATCAATTTTTAAATGAGTTGTTTTATGAATTTTGTTTTAGAGCCTACGCGTATGTGAACAAAGTAAAAAGAAAAACAAAAACACGTTGGCAAACACAAACAAGACACAACACACGCACACAGAAACGCACTCACACACACACTGACACTATTTTAGATTAGTTGTGCGAGGCAAGCAACAACAGCAACAGCAACAACAAAACACGGCAGCCAGCGCTCGATGCCTATGATTCACTTCGGCGAGTGTTGCTTTTATATAAACAAATGTACAATTCAGAATTTTAACAAAAACTCAAAATATACACTAATTATGAGAACAGAACAATTATAATTACAATAATGTGATGCGACGCAAGCGGCGTCGGCTGCTGCACAGCGAAAGCTAATGCATTAACGGTGAACTTATTAATATTTATTTTTTTATATTGTTTTTTTATTGTCGATGTCGGACGTATTGTCAAAAACTCGTAAATATACTCTTGAAATCTTGTTTTCGAATTTAGCGCAAATTGAGCGATCAACAAAAATTTATCCGCGCCTAGAAATCACGACGGCCAAAAGAAGCAGACTGACTGTTATTAACAGCAAGCAATTCCAGCAAAAGGCAAATTGACATTAGAGATGCGAGCGCATAAGCGGCTGTCCATGTCGATAACAAATAACTTTTGTATCGATATATTTCTCCGATATATCTGTTTTTACTTGTTGGCGCCAAAATTTTCTCGCCAAATGAGTTGGGCGAAATCAGCCAGTTATTTATCGATAGCTTATCGTTGGTATTTTTCGCCGTGTAACATATGTTCGTTATTCGCCGTAGCTGTTCGCTCCACTAATTCGATCAAACAGAAACAGAATTTGCATATTTTTCATTTACCCTTAAAGAAAATTGATAAAAATGTTTTTCATTTAACACATAATAGAGCGAATAACATATAGCTAACATGGATCAGCTTCTGGACGAGGTAAAGTAGCAAACCAAAGCCTTTGAGTATGTTACAGAAGCTTAACAGATTTTTTAATACGTATTTTTTGTTTAGGTAAAAACAAATGTGCAGCAAAAATTCAGCGAAATACGCGCCGCATTACATATGCGTGAAAAGTTGCTACTGCGACAACTGGAGGTAATTGCAAATACACAACGCGAACAATCAGCGCCTGTTTACATAGAATACAACACAGACAATGATAAAGAAAAGTGCAAGGTGCGATTCGTCACGGGCGACGATGACGAAGAGGAGAAGCTACTGACGGCTATTCGGAGTTTTGGACAGTTTCAACTTGATAGCAATATGCAGCTGGCGCTTCATAGACTGCAGGACAACAGAACAGCAGGTCTGCGAAACGAGGACTACATTGAGCCCATCGATGACCACGAGACGATGTACAAATGCCTTGAAGATCGGGTGGACAGCAGCAACTACTACAATCTGAATGATGAGGTGCAGCCAGAGGCCATTGTGGTGGACTTTTCGCGCAACAAGGCGCTGCTAGAGGACAATGCCAAGCGCTCCATTATCAATATTACCTTGCAGGAAGCCAAAGATCTGATACGACGAGCCAAAATCAAGCGCGAGACATATGTGCCACCGCTTAATTTGGAAGAGCTGGACGACGAGCTGGAATCGTCCATAGCCGATGCAGTGTCCAGCCTGGGACGCAGCTGCCCCGAGCAGACGTCTGCCAAACAGAAGCCCAAGACGCGCAAACCCCGCTTCAAACCAAAGATAACAATCAACAATTGCAATGGTACCATCAACCTCCGCAACATCGCCAGTCTCACCATCAACTGTGCCAGCGAGGATGCTGTCAGCGCTGACCTGCCCTTAACCGATGGCGCTGCAGCTGCTGCAGCTCACACAAAGTTGCATCAAACGCTGTCAGCAGACTCGAGCAGCACCGCCACCGAACTATCCAGCTGCACGCCCACCAGCTCGAACTACTCGAGCAATGCGAGCTCCCGTTCGCAGTCCAAGAAGCACAAAGGTGTTAAGAGGACGGAGATCAAAGAGGAGTCACTTAAAACCAAGAGGGAACCGCATTCTGAGAGCGTGGAAAGTACGCCCACGCAGCCTACCTCGACGGATACGCATGAAGTAACCTGTGACTTCTATAATCGCTTGTTAAACGAAATCAAAAAGAGTCTAAAGCAGAAGCCAACGCGCACGTATGAAGCTGCACAGGAAGAAGCCGCAGCAGCAGCAGCCGCCGCCGCCGCCGCCGCCGCAACAACAGTCACAAGCAGCGATGCAGTGCAGCCAACTACAGTGGCAGCTGATTCAAGTTGCGAGCAGCAGAGCCGAGGAGACGGGCCGGCCCATGTCTCCAGCACGCAGGGCAGTGAAGCCAGCAAGACAACATTATCGTCGCAGCTGCAGCCGGGCAAGCGTTTGGTATTGAAGAATTTCGAGAACTTGAAAATTATTTTGGAGGCCAACAGCGGCGATGAGGACACGTTTCATCCAGTGCAAATTGAACAGTGGTTGGCTGAAATAATATCCGAAACTGACTTGGAGCCAATGCAAAATCGGGATATACTCGAGCACAGCAAAATCCACAACAGCGAAAGCACCTAAGCACAAAGAGTTTCGAAATGCATCACAGTATTTCATAGATTTACATATAGCATATATATAGTATCTGTAGTTTCCTTAACTGGCATTACTCTCTCACATATTACACGGCTTTTGTGGTCCAAATCTATGCATTTAAGATTCAAATATGTACCCCCGAAAGAAGGAAATGTTTCTTGTACTTAAACTTAGCCTGAGTACAGTTAAATACACTTTATTTTGTGATTTTTACATCACATTCCAAGACTTAATATTCGCACAATATATTCTAATACACGTTAAGTTTAGCACCTAAGATTTAGGCCAATTTCGTTGTCACCATATTGCAAACCAAATAATGAGAACAAAAACAAATTGTATAATTAATGAAAGTGAGTGCTAAACACGATTTAATTGCGCGCTTCACATGTTTTCAGCCCAAAAAACAAATCAAATTTCACTCGTGTTAACCGGTTGAAGGACAGTACGGTGGACACTCGCTAAACAAAGCTCTGTTCTATAGATTCCCAAGAGCTCAGAAAGATACAGATAAAATAGTATTACACTTTTTTAATATCAATTTAATCCACTTGCTAAAAAGTATAAAATAATTATTTATATATTTCAAAAAGTTTAAAAACCAATATGAATAAAAAACGTTTATCAAAAGTTGAATTAAAATCGAAGTTTGTGAGTCACAAGTGTCAAATTTGTGACAGTTTCCATTAGCGAGCATTCACTGTAGTAAGTATATATTTCAACATTTAACCAATAACCTCGTCATGCTGATTGTGCGCGCTACTCGATTGAAATGCCAAAGTTGGAAACACTCGCTACGGGGTTGGGCTGCATTTGCCTTCCAAATGTGCTGGGCTGATAAGCATATTGAATGTTGAGTGGCCAGCGAATACTATATAAAATAGCTTATTGTCTATGGACATCAATTGCAATGAATAAGTTAATGAAATTGTCATCATGATTAGCTAAAAATTGAAGTTTAAACACAAATTAAGAAATTATTACTAATATTTGCACGCTTTTGTCTTAAAAACTAGATTATGTTCTTGATCCCATTTAAGTACACTTGATATAGAGAGGGTGATCTTAGCTTAAGCTGAGTTGCTGATTATGTCCAGCATGTAGGGCGTAAAGTAGGTTATAATACAATCGGCGCCCGCACGTCTAAAGCCCTTCATTGCCTCCAGCACAGCTTCGCGGAGTGGAAAGGCGCCCGCTTTCGCAGCGTGACAGAGCATGGCATACTCCCCCGACACCTGGTAGACATAGAGAGTATGGTATGGATATGTGTCCTTGGTCTGGCGCAATATGTCCAAGTAGGGCATGCCGGGCTTAACCATCAGCATGTCTGCACCTTCACTGACATCTCGCTGTACGGCCCGCATGGCCAGGTTCCGGGACCCACTGGGCAGCTGATAGCAACGACGGTCTCCAAAGGCGGGCGCCGACTGTGCTGCTTCCCTGAAGGGTCCGTAGAAATTGGAAGCAAACTTGGCCGAGTAGGCCAGCAGCGAAACGCTGGTGAGGCCAGCGTCCACTAAAGCCTGCTTGATAGCCCGAACGCGGTTGTCCATCATATCAGAGGGGGCGACGACATGTGCGCCAGCCTTACCGTAGGCCACGGATATTTCAGCTATGCGCTTTATACTCGGCTCGTTCTCCAAGCCATTGTCGCCCAGCAAACCGCAGTGGCCATGTGACGAATACGGACAGATGCACACGTCACATGCTAGCAGCAGAGTGGGAAACCATTCTCGGAGCTTGGGCAATGCCAACACCACGGGATTCAGACTGGAATCAGCATTTGTGGCTTGATCGTCCTTATGCTCACTTTCCACCACGCCAAAGAGCAAGACAGAGGTCAAACCTTTTTTGACTAGAGGCTCTAAGTGCTCGCGTAATCGGTTCAGCCCGTAGCGCGATATGCCCGGCATGCTCGCAATGGGTTGTACATCATCGTCGTTGCTAATTATGAACACAGGATACATCAAGTTGTATGGCAGTATTTCGCAGCCAGACTCCTGTAGCAGTCGTAGCGTAGGATGATGTATAGCACTATGCAGTTTCCGATCCATTTTTACTCTAATTTGTTCCGCAGTCGCGTCGCACGTCAAACGAATGAAATTTTGCTTTCCACTGAAGAATGGAAATCGCACTCGACCAATCGATTGTTGCACTTACTTCATATCGATACTGTTCCGATTAATTTGCTTCTGTGACCGTGCGCGCAAAATTGAACATTTCAAATTCAATTTCCGTTTACTGAACAGTCGTAGTCCGAGAGCTAATATTTAAAATAAAAAATTGTTTATTTTGCTTACGACATTTTATTATTGTTTTTGTTCAAACATATCAAGTGACATCATCCATCTGCTACACTCCTAACACTCAATTCTCATAAACTCGCAGTTGAGTGCGCCTAATTGAAAATTAAATACATGAATTCTAATTATATATATATATAAGTATATTATGTATGTTTATGAAAATACTAGACATTAATTAATAATGTTAAATAAGCACAAATAAATACATAACACATGTTGTTCTCGTCGTCTTGTCTTCACGCCTTTGACCCTGACTTAGTTTTAGTTTTAAAATCAATGAACGTAAAACACAACTAAATCCTAACTTAAATTATATCAATTGGACTTTAAATATTTTTTGGTTTGGTTATCAGATGCTAGTTACAGCCCTTGGAAGTGTATTTCTTTTATTGTTTCGGGAGCTTTGAGTGATGCTAAGTAGTTTCTTTGTCTTTTTGGTTATATTTGAATAGCCTCCACTAGGAAACCAGGGCATGGTGGTAGTGCACACGCTTCTTGCGTTGCTTCTTACGGGGCACATTGTTTTGTAGAATCTGTGGCAGCTGCTGCGTCTTGGCAGCATGCAATATCACGGTGTAGCTGTGCAGTAACAGCGGCTCCTTGGTGATGAGCTCAAGTGGATCGATTTGCATTGTGGGTGTGAGAACAAGTTGCGTGCTGGATGTAGCTTTTTGGAGACACGATGTGGATGTTATTGTTGCTGTTGTAGTTGAGTTGGTACTACTTGTTAGTTGTAATTGTGGTGCTTGTAGTCGTCGTATAGCTGTTTCAATTTGAGCTGGTCAAGCGAAAGTTACTTGATAGAAGAGCCATTCTTCCATGAAGGACGGTACAAAAGCTTTGGTTGTAGTAAATTTAACCTTCGGCTTAAGCAAACGTAGCTGATCTTCGAACAACTGCAACGATTCCAAGCAGCTGGTGCCATTGCCATGAGTCAAATATTTACCATCTGGCTTCAGCAGCTGAAACGAATGCTCAAAGATGGTGCGTATAAAATCCCAACACTCGCCAATCGGTGTATCCGAAATGGGTATATCCGTAAGATCCCCAAAGACATAGTCAAATTTGCGACCCTCAGCAATGAACTTCTTCATATAGTCCACACAATCGCCCACTATAATCTCATACTGTTCGGTCTTCCGCTTTTCCAGGACATCGCCGCAAATGGTGTTCAAATACTTGTTGCAAGCCTGCATAACAAGCTCATCAATTTCGAGCATGATCACATGCTTGGGATTCTCCTTGAGCAGTTCATAGAGTAGAGCGCCATCTCCGCCGCCCAGTATACATATCTCCTTGCCTTCGTAGTTCTCAACGCCGCGACCCATTAGAGTTTCCGTATAGATCAAATCCGATTCGGCAATATCTGCAATAGTGAGACATTAGCAAGCATTCGAAATTGATTTTATTTCAGCTCGACAGCAACAGCGACACGTGACGTGCACCAAGTAGGCCTTGACCTTAATTTGATCTGTGTGGCATGGTCTGCAGCCTATGCAGGGGTTGTAAATTAACGTGCCACCGAGCTATCGAATGCATGTGTCCTACTTACTCTGCAGCTCGTCTAAAATTAGCATATTGCCCAGCGTCTTGGAGTGCATGATTTGAATCTTCTGGAACGGCGACCGCGCCTCATAGACAAGGGTATCAATATCGTATTCAATAATGCGCTCATCTGCGAATCAATATTCAAAAGTTCACACGGATTAAATATAATATAGATAAAGGTTGCAAACTATTCACAAGAACTGCAATCAAATACCCTAGAGATCCTATATATACAGTATTACATACATGCATCAAAATTAACTGAAATAAAAAATGATAAATCATTAAAGAAACTCAATTATAAATTGTGGAGACAGAAAAGTGAACAGATGTTCAATAAAAAATTGTTCCAAACTAAATTAATTATTCGAATTTCAAATGAAAGGATGCCACATGCTTTGTGCTTTTATTATGTATTTGTACGCAGTGCGAAAGTTGCTTTCAACTACTTATGACTTATGATTTAGCTTCTAGTTTTTTTATTATGATAATAGAGTATACGGTATACGTTACCTGCGGAGGGATAATACCTAGCGACATCGCCGCGCTTCAATGTTGGTATCTTTTGACCCGAAAGGGCTTGCAAACTTTTTGCTAGGGCTTTTTCCAAGCGTTTGCCCGTCTGCTCAGTTGTCGAGTGGTTAATGTACATGGTGGTAGGTGGAGTTGTTGTACATAGTAGTAGTAGTTGTAGTTGGTACCATGAGAGCGAGCGAGCGAGCGGGGCAGGTGACACAGGTGCATTGGGCGTACGTACAATTTAATTTGGTTTACACATTTTGTTTGATTATAATCGAAGAAATTTTGATCATGGTTGTAAAAGATTATCGTGATTGATGATAGGTGATGATGTTGATGTTGATGATGAAGAGAAGACCAAAGACATCGTGTAGGTTTCGTTTGTGTATATTCATGGATATGAAAATAAAAAAGAGTTTATAGAAAAAAAATCAAAATAATTAAGAATTCTTAAAATAATACAAATAATACGTTGTTCATTTTTATTTTATTTTTATATTGTTTTTTTCTCGGTTCCAATTGGATTTCTAGCACGACGGAACAAACATGCAAGAACTGCCGAAATTAGAAGGCTATTTCTATGGGTAAGCTAAGGTAGCAAACCAATTTATATAATTTGTATATTACATGGATGTTGTGGGGGCTACAATGAACGAAAAGGAAAACGCTTCTGGTTGTAGTGTGAGTGACTGACAAGCCGTTTGCGAATTTATAGAGCCATACTACAATGGCTAGGGCCCGTGCAACCAAATAGTTGATGAATATGAATTTATATATTTGTCGAATTGATATATAAAGTGAACAGAAATTTTGTTTTGTTTTGTTTTTTTTTTTTTTGCTCTGCTTGGGTTGCAAGTTTTTGGCAATTGATTTTGAAGAGACAATTCGGAATAGGAAGATATATACGAGTAAATACAAGGATTGCGAAACTCTTTGATACTGCATATAGAACTAGCAAAAACTAAACTTTTTGTTTTTTTATTTGTTTTAATAATATATATATTTGACCAACCTGAGCTAGTCATGTATATGTCAATATATCCACCACGTTTTATCGGCGGTAAATACTTGGATCGATCGGAATCTAATTTTTGACGTAGAATAAGCTCCATTGTACGCATGGTCTGCAATTGTAATGTTTCTTATTTAAGTTCCTAAATATTATTTACCTACTGCGTATATCAAAGCATATAAATTGCAAATGTCAATGCTGTGATGAAGGAAATTAGCCAAGCAAATAAAAAGAAAACAATAAAACACAATCGGTAAGAGCCAATTTCCCATAGCCAAAAACTTTTCGAGTAGCCCGTGCTAGTGTGTGGAAACTACATATATATATATCTATATATGTATTATAGCCAGCCCCGCAAACAACTATTTATAGTTCAGATTGTAGACAAGTACATGTTTATATATCTTATTACATATATGTGTCTTTAGTCTGAAGTAAATGCAATACGAGAAACGCAAATTGCCGGCTAGACCAACGCAACATTCGATACGGACCTGCACGCCTGTTTCTATATACACTTATATATATTCTGCTCACGTAAAAACATAAACAATAGCAAACTTTGCTGAGAAAACGCAGCCGGTAATGCAGAGCGTCTAGAAATAATTTTAAGAATTTACTCAAACTTGCACCCACGTGCTTCTAACAGAGTGCGAGAGAGAGGGAGAGCGAGAAATTATGTTTGCCGCCGGGCCGATGCACGCATACCCTAATCAAGCTAACGCACAGTATTTCAAAGATAATAAAAGTATGCTAAGGCAAGCTAATTAGCTATCTGCAATCTAATCTGCAACATTTGAATTTACTAAGTGGAAATTTCACATAGTACATATACCCTTTATTAGCGTATCAAACAGAGGCGCGGTATGATATAATAGTCGCAATCGAAATTTAGACGCATACATGGTTCAATTTTAAGGTCTTGGCCACATGGAGCTCGAATGCCTTGAAATCCGATGCGCCCATTTCATCCCACTTCCACTTTCGAAGAGTGCAAAAACAATGTTAACGGAAAAAAACGGTCAAGTGCATGAGACACACCCCCGCCAAGGGGCCTCGCACTCACACGCACGTACACACACAGTAACGAAAAATCAATTTCACTTCCCGCTGTCCCTGTAAGCCCTTCTCCAAGCCCCTCACAAACACACTCACACAAACTTTTAACAGCTAGTCGCAGTCTTACTGTGTCCGTGAGTTTACTTTCACACGTGTGGATGCCATAAAAATATATTTACATATATAAATATGTGTGTGTGTGCAAAAATTTGTGTTTTATAAAATAAATTTAGTGTGTATTTCATACATACATACATCAAAGGATAAGATTGGTTCCTTGCCGGCGGCCAAATAATACTCCACATTGATGGTTAACAAACCCTGTTGAAAGATGCGGCACGTTATAATCGTCTCCTTATTTTCGTGCAGCACCGAAAAGTATCCATTATCCATGGATTCCATAGAATAAGCAAGTTCCAATTGGGTAAACACATGTTCTAGCTCGTTGCGAACAATACGGGCCACCTCTTGGCGTTGTATTGATGTCGCTGTTTTTCCAGCATCCAGTGTAAAATCAAAGAGTATTGTCTGGGCAGCCATGGCGAAATTGTCTGAGGTTGAGCCCGCCGAATGTGCAAAATACGAATGCAGGTTTCACTAGTGCTGCATGCGCCTTTATTATAACGATATTTGATTTATATCGAATATGCTAGTATCGATATATTTGTCAATGAGTGAAAAGCCTGGGCACATTCTTTCCCAAAAGTAATGTGTTCACTCACAGTCAGCTGTTTGATTTGTTTACGTCTTAAATTAGCTTAAAATCATGAATCAAAGTTAGCAAAATCTTACTGTACTGATATTATGCATTATAAAATTAATTCACATAATAAGTTGTTAAATCAAAAAGAAAAGTTTACAGCAAAGCCTTCTCAATTTTTTTATTTGAATTTAAACATTGTGTGAAATTAACATATTTATGTTAACGCAATGTTGAGTCTGTGTGCCCGATAGACGATATACAATTTATTAATCTATAATTGTTAGAATTAAGGAATCGAGTAACTGACTGCCGTGGTATCGAGTAACTTAAGCAAATAAACAATATTTATTTTGCTTTAGTGTTTGCGGGCACCGGACGGACTTAATATGTGCTAAAAGGTACAAGGTCGTGAAGTAAAGTGTCAATGTTGTAGACTACCTGAACCTGAACTTGAAAAAACTTGTGACAAAAAATGTGTGCTTTTGCTGCTGCTGTCATTGTTGTTTTATATTGCTATTGGCCGAGACTTCGCCAGACGCCTCGCCTCATAGGCGTTCAAGGCAAAGACACTGCGCGTACGTTTGGCGGCAACAATAGGCTGCTAATTATAAATCCCAGCATAAGAGCGCACCGGCGCACAAATCAAGTGATGTCGCCAGAAGTCTTTTTTTTATTATTTATTTTTTTGTTTGCGCTTTCATTGTGCGTGGGCGGACGTCACAGCCGCAACATCGCAGCATGCTTTGCAGATGCCAATTTCGTTACGTCGTCGTTATATAGTTCTTTTTGTTCCACCCCCCGTTTGTATGCCATTTGCGCGCCCCCCTTTCAACTACTCCTGCCTACGTCTGTTGGCGCCCCAAGCATTGCTGTGGGCAACGCCATAGCAAGCGGGAAGGGTGGATTTAAGTGTTTTGCTCCGCGACAGCTTTTTTTATTACGATATGTGCTTACACTTTATATACACGTATTGATTTTTTCCTTTTTGCTCTCACCCACACAGCTGTTCCTGCAAATTGTGGTTTTTTTATGACCAGCACAAGTCTAAATCACAGGTGAGTTGCGTGAATGGTTAGCTATAAAAAGAAAAGTAATTATAAAAGTCTCAACATATTTGCAGGTAAAGAAAGGCACAGCACAGTTTGTTGCTCATCATGGGCTGAGCATAGCAGCAGCTAAACATCACATATGGAAGTGCAGCCAGCCTATACAAATTGTAGTCAGATTTTCGATACAGCTCATACGCACAAGAGCCTAAATTTAAACGCCGAATGTAAACACAATCAAAGCACAATTGTAAACATGTGATAATAGCTGATGAAGCACAGTATTACACCTGCTGAGACTTGCATGAGCAGCTAACACCTAGGATCCACTAGAAGCACGACTCGAACACAAATTTATTTACCTCGCTGCATCCAAATTATTGTAAATCATGCAGCAGGGTGGGGCTGGCAGTGAGGAACGCATTACCAGCAGTCCACGCAGCGCACAAAAGACTGGCAGCACGTTGTTTGGACTGTTAAGCAAGCGGCCCAGCAAGGTAGAGCCACATCCTGTAACACCTGATTCGCCAAATTCTCAGCGACGACCAACGTCTGCCTGTGGCCAATATGATGTCAGTTTTGCCAAATGCTCGGCAGAGTCGAGCAACAATCACAAGAGTCAAACGTTGCCCGCCAACGCCGTCAATTGTAATGTCGCTCAGATGCTGGATAAATCTCACAGCGGACTAATAAGCTTCCATAGACGCGGCAATCCTACATCCAAGAGCAAAGCGCACACACATCGATATAGCGACGCGGGCTCCCAAAGCGATGGAGGTGCGGATGTAGTCATGCGTCGCAAATCGCCTAAGAAGCGTTCGCCTAATCACAATCGATTTAGTCATCAGTTTAGCCTGTGCTGCAAGGCAGAGAAGAAGCCTATGACGCCGCCGGTTTCTGTGCGTTACAATTCGATACCTGATGCCGTGGTCAATGCCAGCAACGTGCTTCGGCGCGACAACCTGTCGCTAAGCTGGAGCATGATGGATAATTCGGGTTCATTAAATTCGCACTCAAGTGAAGGAGCTGCTTCGTTTCAGCTCCCGTCCACCCAGCGCCCACGACCATCCAGCGAGTGCGCCAGTGCCCCCGAATCTCCAGTGGCTAGCAAAACCTTCTTTGCGCCAAGTGGCGCAAGCGCCACCGGCTCCACGCATCACAATTTGCACTACTCTCCATCCAGTTCGTCCAACAAGAGCGACACTGTGAATCGAGCGCCCATACGGCCCATCGCTGTGTCTGCATGTCGTTCGCGGCTGCGTCTCAAGTTGTTTCCACCAGGACAGGAGCTGCCGCCGCTACATCCTGAGGAAAGTGCGGAAACATTGAAGCGTGCTACAACGCCGCAGCACATGTCCTCGCCGAACATTGCCACACAGCCAGATACGCTCGACGCTGTCATCCAGGAGGCGCCCGGTATGCGTTTCATGTCGCACGAGAACATGACGCTGCATCGCCAAGGATCTGGATCCAATTTGGCTCGTCAGACATTGATGGCGGCGCAGGCATTGAATCTTATACCAGCGGACAAAGCACGCGAACGTAGCTACCTGGATGGGCGACTGGGCTCATCCTCGCTACTGGGCCCAAGCGAACTGAGTCGGGTTCTGCCCCAGAAAGAGGTCACCATATTCGTAGGCACCTGGAATATGAATGGCCACAGTCCACCCAAGTGAGTCCTAATCCTAATAGACTAAATTTCCATATATATAAATATCTATTTTGTAGACAAATGAACGACTTTGTGTTACCTTCCAATGTGGAACATGTGCCCGACCTGGTTGTTATGGGCACTCAGGAGTCCAGTCCAGATCGCTTTGAATGGGAAGTCACGCTGCAGGAGACGTTGGGGCCATCCCATGTGCTTTTCCATTCAACGACACTCGGCACGCTTCATTTGGCTGTCTACATGCGGCGTGATCTCATTTGGTACTGTTCGGCACCAGAGGATGCATCGATGTCGGTGCGCACGGGCTCGGCATTTCGAACAAAGGGCGCTGTGGCCATATCGTTTTGTCTGTTCGGCACATCCATGCTATTTGTGACTTCCCATTTAACCGCACACCAGCAGAAGGTGAAAGAGCGTGTGTCCGATGTTAAGCGCATTATAAACGCATTGGACTTGCCCAAAAATCTGCCAAACATGCGTCACAAGAACAAGGATGTTACGCAGAACTTTGACAATGTGTTCTGGTGTGGGGATCTCAACTTTCGGTTGGGCGAGCCACGGGAGAAGCTGCTCGAGTGGATACAGAATACGAAATTTCCACTACCATCGCATTTGCCACATGGATACATGCACACGGATCAGCTCTCGTCTGTGCTGGCCGATGGCGCTGCTTTCCGTGGCTTCATGGAGGCAAATATTACATTTCCTCCCACATATAAAGTGAGCTTCAGAAGCGACATGTCAGTATTCAATATCTAATTATGTATTCATTTTCAGTATGATCCTGGAAGTCAGAACTTCGATACTTCTTCTAAGCAGCGTGCGCCCGCTTATACGGATCGTATTCTCTACAAATATCGTCAAGTGCAGGGATTAGTAATACGCCGGCAGAGCACTGTGCCGGGCGTGTCTACGCCCACACAGCCTTACGTCCAATGTCTGCTCTATGATTCCGTACCGTCTATAACTACATCTGATCACAAACCAGTGTGGGCTTTATTTCGCACACTAATTCGTGCTGGCACTGATGCGTGAGTGGCTGCCAAGTAGTTGAAAACAACAATAATTCAAATATCTCTATTTCTTTTAGTATACCCCTTGCTGCTGGCTTGTTTAGTCGTGACATTTACTTGGAGGGCATGCGTCGTCGTCTGAATAATCAATATACCGGCGCCTCCGCGGTCTGTGCCATACAGTAAAAGCTACAAATTATATATATAAACATAAATATATATACATATATATATATGTATATATATATGTATATAATTATATATATATATATATATATATATATATATATACAAATCTATTCAGTGAAAAATCTCGAAAATACTAGTCATGTTAACTATACCAAATCAGCTTATGAGCTGTCCCAATGCTTTACCACGGTTGTGTGTGGCCTTTATAGCATATAGTTAGTTAGTCGTTAAATTGTGTAGTCGAATACCAAATACTTTACTTGATACCATGTTCGAATATATATTTAGTTGATAGGCGCTGCCGTTGCCTTGAGGCCTTAATGTAAAACGTTCCTTACGAAATAGAGGCGCAGTCATAATGGAATCTAATTATAGCCCAAGCATTAGTGTATAGGCTAGTTGAATCTATTAGCTAATAACTTAGTGCAAATATATAAATGAAGTGGAAAGTTGAATGTGAATAATATTAAATAGCAGTAAATACATATACATAAATATTTAATAGTGTTGTGCGAACAACAGTTGTTAATTGTTATATTTATATCTAACTTATAGTTTAAAGCTGGTTGAATTTTTGTTGTTTTAAGTTTGCTTCGGTAAATAGTTAAATCTATTATTTTTTATAATATATATTTATTTGTATATATATTTAGTTCTTTAATATTTAACATTTTGCAATTTGCAATGGCAGCTATCGGCAGTTGGGCGACGGCACTCGACAAAGCGAAACTCATAAGCGGAGCCCATGAGAGCAAACCAACGGGCAGGATGTGCCCGCGGCTGGCACTCGACTGTGCAGCCGCTCGTTTATTTACCCAAAAAATGCGCCAAAAAGGCCAACGACAGCCGCTGGAGTCGCATGGGCCCCTTGAACCCTTTGCTCCCACGCTGCCTGCAGCATGCAGCATGCAGCATGAAGCAATTCAAACCGTAAAGCCCTCTCCGCACACACGCAAATATGTTAAACTTTTGACCAATTTCAACTCGAGTTGGATGCCGCTGGTGAGCGGACGTTGGACGCACTGCAATTTATTGCCATGGCGATTGGCATCGGCGGCAGCAGCAGCACCAGCAACGGCAACGGCTCGACATCGACATCGGTAACGACATCCATGTCCCATAAGTAGCCCCGCGGCGCTGCAGCCGGAACAGTTTGGTTGTGGTTATGACCATGTAACCCGTGCATGTGGGTGCCGGTTTGTGTGTGTGTGTCAGTGTGTGTGTGCGAGTGTGCTTGTGCTTACACTCTTGTCAGTGCGACTCGGTGTCATCCAATTGACCAAAATCATTGGAGGGCCCCAACGCGCCGAAGGATGAGCTAAGTGGCATTGTATTGACCAGTGTGTGCTGCGCCAACCCTCAACCTGACAAGCCAAAAAAAGAATAAGAGCAGCAACAATATCCGTTTTGTTTATTGCAATTTCTGCGCTGTGGCTGCCATTTGGCAGTTGCTACTAGCGGAATTCATAAAGTTTGTGCCTACTTTTGAAGGTGGGTTTGGGGCGATGGCCGAAATTAGTTTTTTGCAGTTCTACTGTGAATGCATTTCACATATTTGTAGCATATATATTAAATAAATGCTGCAAAGCTGGCTAGTTATTGTTGTGCCAACAGTTTTGCAACTCATTTCCGTTGCCCTCTTCGCACGTACGAAAAATTAACCGCAATATTTGAAATTATATTAACATTGAAGTCAGCTTGGCGCATAAAAACTGTGTGCGCCTCCGTCAGTGTGTGTGTGTGTGTGTGTGTGTGTGCTGCACATTAATATCCTGTGCGCACTCGTACGTGTTAATATGACTTTATGACTTCATATGTGTCCATATTTTTTGTCGTCTCTTTTGGCGCTTCACACTAAAAAGTTTTATTGTTAGTTACGCTGCTCTGCCACTGCTGCCACCATCAAAGCAACAATTTTTATTCAAAGTGTTGGAAGATGCACAAATTATTAAAATTTTCCATCTGCCACCCCTTTGGCAGCCCTATAGCTGCATGCAGTGCATATATATCAGGCACTCGCATCGTCAGACACTGAAATTCTGCATATGTAACAGCAGAGTGGCAAGAAGTATAACGATGTGGACTATGATAGACTGAGTGACACGCTAACTGAGATAGCAAGACAGTCAGAATATGTCTAGGAGTTATATGGCAACTCAATCAAAGACAATTTTCTACTATATAATTGATCATTCTAGTTGTGCCAGCGCAGATAAGTATGCTATATATTTTTAAACTTAACCCATCTAAATTCAGATTTATTTATTTGATTCTATACTCCACACATATTCATTAGCTATCATTACTTTTCAATGGGTATCTCATCTTAGCCCATTTCATTGCTGCTGGCAGATCGTTAACAATGAAAAGATGCTTCTGCAGTTAAGCAGTGCTCATTGCTGCTGGCGTTCCCATTTTGCTCTTGGGTGGGGCAACCATCTGGCACTTGGCAGTCGCCGAAGCCACTTGAAAGCTTATTGTACATTTCAAACAACTCTATTACGAATATTTTTCATATTTTCTGCGCAGCAGAGGAACACAAAAAAAAGTTAACATTAAACGTGGCGAAAGGCCGAAAAGCCAGAGCACGCAGCAGAAGCGGTGGCTGGGGGCAGAGCCAGTGGCAGTGCCACAGATTGGGGCAAGAGAAGCAAGTAATTCGCATGCGGCACGTTACATTCTCGCAATAAAAAATGAAAACCGTTTTGCATGCATGTGCCGGCGTCTCCAATGTGTGTGAGTGCAAAAAGTAATAAATGTACGTGCCTTACTAAAGCGCAACAACAACAGGGACAACAGCAGCAATGGCAATAGCAATGGAAACTACGCTTACACACACACACACACACACACTAACGCATACGTGTAAATTTAGAGCCAAAAAGATGGCGCGCTTCCGTTTCCGCTTTTCCTCACGCGCACATGTCACGCTGCATGCAAATGCACGCATGTCCGCGGCTGTACTCATATGACTGCTAGCTAGTCGAGCGTACAATAAACGCAATAAAAATAAACTACAATTTTCTTTGACTACTCTTGCACTAGTTATGCAGAGTCGCCTCCCGTTCCCGCACGGCTCCGTCGCATGCCCCACAGCCAGATATACATTACTTTCTATTATGCGCATTCTTTCCGTTGCGATATTTTTTTTGTTGTGCTTCGCTTTGGAGTGGGCGCTCTGAGGGGGGCATGGGGTCGGGGTGTCAGCGATGGGGGTCGTGCGCTTTCGCGTTTGAAGTAGCTTTGGATTGTATAAAAGTAACCATAGCTACCATAATTTAATGAAAACATAATCTGCATGCATAAAAAACGCACAAACTCATGCTGATAACATGAGAGTGGCAGAGACGGGAGAGGGAAAGCGGGGGAGAGAGAAGCGCATGGCAAGCATTTTATTAAATGCGTGTTTATTCTTTTTTCATTTTATTTTATTTTTTGAGAGATTCCTCGACTTTTTGTTAACCGAACAATGTTTTCTTTACGCTTGATTGCAATTCCAAATTGCATTTCTTCAAGACTATAGAAAACGACAAAAGCTAAGAAATTAAATAGCTACAATCATAAGAACATGCGGAGATATTGTAGATATATCAAGGAGCAGACTGTAAAGCAGCAGACTGTAAAGCAGAAGACTGTAAAGAGCAACCTGTCAAGCAGCATACTGTAAGGCACAACACTGTAAAGCTACAGACTGTAAAGTATCCAACTGTTAAGGTTCAGACTGAGTAGCAGCTATGAAGATTTTATGAAGTGAGTGACAGATCAGACTGTAAGGCAGTGGACTCTAAAGCAGCAGATTGTAAAGCTAAAGACTGTAAAAGTACAGACTGTAAAGTATACAAATGTAACTATTCAGACTGTAAAGATATAAACTATGTAGACATTGTCAGAGATTGGACCGTAAGACAGCAGACTGTAGAGAATAAGACTGTAAAGCAACGGGATGTAAAGCAGCAGACTGTAAAGTATTAGATTGTGAATGAAAAAGTTATACAGATGCTATAAAGTCTTTTTAAGGGAGTCAGAGAAATTTACGAATGCCTCAGACTAAGATCCTTTGTTCCAACTGCTCACACCTGTATGCAAAATGAGTCCAAGTCTTATATAGACTGCCTGCTTTTTAACATTTAACATATACAGATTGATATTATTGAAAATTAAATAAAGAATAGAAAGGGAAAGGAGTGGGCTAAGTCAGAGTAATTACCAACTCCTTACTTACTGCCGAGCACCTAAGCAGTTTCCCGATTACATCTATAAAGTCACAATCTTTTTCAGATTTTCTCTTTTTTGCTTTATATAAGATCAATAAGCTGTGCTATATACATTCACTCTCAAGCCCTCCAAAATTGGCATTTTGTTAGCTGTAAGCTCAACCGTCTTGCCAGCTACTCAAAGACAAGCTGGCAGGCATTTCCAAGTATCTGGTTTCGTTTCATTTCAATTTTTTTTGCTCGCTTCTCAATTTCCTATTTTTAATTTTTCCGCGCGGATTTTTGATGGGGTTTTTCCCCGTGCCCGCCGCGCTGTTGGGCACAACAATAACTTGAGCAGCTCGACTTGAGTAGCTCGCAGAAAAGTTTCCAAGACAACTCCTTTAGTGGCAGCGCAGTATCTGCAGAAAGCAGAAGAGAAAGGAAAAAAAAACAAGCAAGAAGGACTTGCTAAATATCCTTTAGCCTTTGCGAAATCAGTAAAGCGCAAAGGACCACTTGTGAATACGCTTTGATGCGCGCGGCTTTGAGTGCGAGTGTGACTGCCGGCGTCGTCTTGCCACGGCTCAGAGGCAAGTGCAGATGGCGGCATGGGCAGAGCGCGGGCTGAGGGGGCACGAGCTGCGCCTGGAATTATACCTCACTCTTTCGACCCGCAGCGAGTGCTTGATATTTATTTTGAGTTGGCTTTCAGCGCTGCCTTTGTAGCTGCGGCTGTGTTGGCATCAAGTATTTCGTGAGTAGCGCAAAATACGCGAGCGCGAAATGTAATAAAAACATTTTTTGCAGAACACGAAGAGCGGCAACGGCAGCGGCGACAGCAGTTGGACAGCCAACGTCTTATTTTTTTTTTATTCATCGTCCTACTAAAGCCGATTTCTATTACTGCTTGGAGCTACTAAAGCCCGTCATAGTCAGTGGGGCAGCGGCTGCTGCTGCTGCTGCTGTTGTTGGTTCTGGTTCAGAAGTATCTACAAGATATTTTTAATACATGCACGCGACTTTGCTCGCTTGCACACACACACACACACACAGACACACATATATATGTTCATATGTATGTGCGTGCTAAATTTGTTGCTTTTATTGGCAGCATAATGAAAAACATTCCTCTTACATACACACAAAAATATGTAATGCATTTTGTATTTTTGTTTTTGTTGCTCGCTTTTTTTGAGATACAAAATTTCGAAATGTGCTGCAACATTTCGCCTTAAATATTTATAGACAGCATTTCGCATTTGCATATCAGGCGTTACGCCCCCTTAGAAACATGATGTTGCTCATTTGCATTTGGCTTCTGACCCGGCCAGGCGCAAAAGTCAATCTGCAGTGAACTGTGGCCACAGATACTTTCATTTTCGTGAACTGCGACGCCCCTTTGATGTCTGTCATGTTAACTGGTTTCTGGCTTCTGGTTTCTGGCTGATGCCCGATGCTTGATTCGACATCCCCTCAGCCGCATCCTGAGTGTAAGTTGTTGCCACAATTTTCAAAATATTTTGCAATTCAAATTATCTACACGCAAGTGGGGGAGAGAGACGAGAGCTGGGGCAGGGACTGGGATTGTTAGCCAGCTGCTGGCGTGGGCGTTGTGGCATATGGCACCTAAGAAGCTAAAGAAGCGATTTTTCTCATTACGGCACTTGTTCGCCACTTTAACGCCTATTGGAAACTCATTAGTTGCTTCGATTAGGCCCAGTTTAAACTAATAATGTAGCGCCGGCCTGTGCTTGTATTCCAATTGAAAAATTTTCATTTATGACAAAGTGAGTGAGCGAACATGTTGGCAGACAAGTGGCTCGCCACTTGCAACCAATTACACCGTCCAGGCGCAAAACCAATCTCAATCTAAGGCATCAAGTAGACAAATATAGACTCTGCCTATGCACTGACTAGTTTCAGTGGGCGTGTGCGCTTGATTGTAGTCTCCATTTGGTATTCAAAAACAGTGCGTCTGTGTGATTTGACGCATATTTGCCAAGCCCACACAGTTGGCAGACAAGTGAGCTACAAATGTAGCTGCGAGATACATTTGAGGTTTTGAGCCCAGCCAGTCAGACAGCGTCAGCCTGCGCTCGAAAACTGTAACACACACACCTACACCTACACACTCGCACACACTCATACAATTGCTTCATTTTGCAAAAGGCTTTTATTAAACCAGAAACGAACTCAAGCTAAAAGCTAAAACCATGGCAAACCTTTTGTCGATAAAGATGACTAGCAGGCGAATCAGACGAGGCTGGCGTGGCAATCGAGGGGGTGAGCTGAGGGCCAGGCATTCTGGTAACGGCTGCATCTATGCCTGCCGTTGCGGCTGTTGCCAGCCTCGAAGGCAGGCAATCGAAGTGTTGGCTGTGCATGTGCCTGTGCCTGTGCCTGTGCGTGCCTAGTTATGGTAAATATTCATATTTGTAACGTATGCACAATGTGTTGAAATTAGCATTTATGAATTTTGTGCCAAATGTCGAAATGGAACTGAAGCAGACGTCGCAGTCGAAATGCTCCTTTGTACTTACTTATGTGCCACCACAAACACTAAAGCGAGTACACTTACACACGCACACACACTCACACGCACAACTACACATCAAATGAGTTGGGCCACTCATTTACGGCCCCGTTGCCGGCTGCATTATGCGCCAGATTCTTGGTTATGGCTTTTGTGGCTCCTTTTGGGCACAAAAACGGTCCTTTGAGCCAACCATTTGCATTTAGATTGCGTCGGCAAACTGTGCAGCCAGAACCTGTCGTCCGGCCATCGACAGCAGCATCGGGTGACATCTGTGCCTTACGATTGCTGCCTGCCAAGGCCTGTAGGCCCGGCGACAACTCAACAACCGGACGCAGTTCATGTTACGGACTTCGATTAACATAATTATGAGCGCAAACTTTAAACTGTGTCCCCCAGCCCGTCAGGGCAATATGTTTCTCTATAAAGCAAATAACCGTTGTACAAGTTGCTGTCTAACAAGTTTTACGAACTGACTAAAGGACAATCTATCATATTTGATCAAACATATTTAGTTTATGTATAAAGAATAGATATATAAAAACATCAGTTTACATCTGTGCCAGTTAGAGCTCTCTAGAATAGGCCATAAATAATTAAAATTTGAAAGTTCAGAGAGTGGGCTCACAACTGTGTGAATATAGTTTAACAAATATCTGATTTAACAAAAGAAAGATTTATTTTAATAATTTTTTTTGCTTTTTATGTATCTATTTTCACTTTAGAAGAACATCGAATATATTCCATTCTAGACTCCTATCAATTCTCCATTTCATTTGACCATCGCCCTGCTCAAGTTTATTTATTTAAGCCATGTGCACTTAGGTCAGCCTCAATGGCTGATCATTTTGCCGCTTGTGAAAAACTTCCCAGGCTGCAATATGTTTTCATAATTTTTCATATATTTTCACACAATTTTCCCAGCCATTTTTCGAGCTAAAAATAGTAATAAAACAAGAGACATTTGACAGGCTCTGATTTGTTTTTACAACAAATGCGTACACGTTTTCCTCCCTCTCTATCCCACTTTCTTTGCTGTTTTTATTGGCAATACACAATTGGCTTTTGATTTTATTAAAGCCATAACAGCAGGGGCTGCAGCTCAACAAAGAGTGTATTATGACTATGAAAGCGTATTGAAAGCGACTTTTTGTCAACCATTTGCCATTGCTGATTGGCTTTTGAAAGCCTTTACTTTGTTGACTTGTCCATAAAATCAAAGAGCAATCGCTTTTTATATGTTTTGAGTGTGCTTTGCGGCAATTCAATTTGCATAATGTTCGCTTAAACGACTTCGCTGTAGGTTCATAAATGTTTTAGTCGCATATGAAATCTGTATTTTAACTGTCTTTACTATTTTTAAAAATAAAACTAAATATTTATTTCATTAAAGCATTTTACTTCGCACTCGACTATCTATTTGAATGTCGATGCTGTTGGGTCCTGTGTCGTGGCTGTTTACACAGCTTACCTTTTGTTATATTTACATAAAATTCTCTTTTCATTTTGCATTGTGGCCGGCCAGACAGTGGCTGAATGGCCATTAAAGTACGTTCATTGCTCCTCGATATGGCGGTAATTAATTACGTAATTTGTCCATTTAAAAGCGCGACAAGATCCTTGAAACGACGCGGTCAACTCTGTCGCAGCATGTGGAAATGCCACTCGATTATTTATAGTGGAAAAAAAGTGAGTTCAGTGACAGGACATGGGCAGAAGGACTTAATGCCCAAGACACATTTGCCAGTCATTTGCATTGGCGTCCTTTTATTTTTGGTCTTCGCAACTGCACAGTGGTTCATGCACTTGTTTTGCTGCCTGGTCCTTTCAGCATTTGATTAACGATGTGGGCCCGCCCGAAGAGAAGTTTCACTTCTCGCTGATGTGCATTTTAAAAGCGTGTAAAAGAAATTACTTATGTGTGTGACTGTGCCTCTGTCAGTGTGTGTGCGTGTGTGTAGGACTGCTCTGAGGATTCAATGGTGGTTAATGCTCTGGCCATGAGCTGAATTGGTGGTGGTGCCGCGTTTCCCTTTGTTTAACTACTCTTACAGCATCAGCCTGCGCCTCCCTGCTCTGCAGCGCGGTGTCGCAATTGGGGTATAATCTGGTTAGCGGCACAAATGATGACGAGCGAGTAAGGGCAGAGGACGACGACAACATTTAAGCACAATTGCTGTGGCTAATGTGACACATATTGTGACAAATTGCATGCGGATGCTGTGTGTGGAGTGGGCCGCAGAATGGGGCAAACATAGGACTGTGTAAACACGTGTCCCTCTGCTTTAGCATTCACTAGCTACAAAATCTTGATCAGGTTTGTAGAAGCTAAAGCTATCTTTTATGATCTCTATTCATTAGCATAATTTTACCTAAGCTTCTTGCCCTGAAATACTCATATAACAGATTCTTTTTTAATTAACTAAACTCAATCCGTGATAATTTAACTAACTAAATATAGTCTATGTATTTGCTAGTTTGTTTAATTTCACTCAACTAATAAAATATAAGCTCGTAGTGTTTATAATAGATTTTCATGGATTATTATATATTTTTAGTGCACTGTTCCGCAGTCTCTGCGCTGCTCTGGCTCCGCCCCCATAGACAATTCGCATGCCAATAGATAGCTGTGGCCTCTGCGTGCCATGGATAACAGAGCCGCCCTCGATGGCAGCCCTCGGATGCTGATGGGGGTCGGTTTAAGTCAGCGACAGCGATACTGACAGCTCGGCGCTGTCAACAGGGTCGCCCATCGGCTGCACATCGAGAACTCGGGCGAACAATGCATGACGAATCGGTATTTTACGCCCATTTTGGGCATTTTGCCCAACTCGGGGTGGCTGTGGCTGTGGCTGCTGTTGTGTTAAACGCTTTGTTCTTGTCAACTGAGTGGAACGAATCGAGGCTGCACCTGCAGGACAACCCGAAATCTCGCAACCTTGCGCTGGGTGGTTGCACCGGATGGGCTGGGTTGCTGGCTGCTGCACGTGCTGCTGCATGTGGCAAGCGGCTTCGTAGCACTGTCTAAATCGAGTTTCTGGCACATTAACATTTTGTTTATTTTACAAGTACTAATTTTGATTTTGGCTTAAAACGTTTTCTTTTGCAGGCGAGACTAGTGGTCCATGGGCTCCTTGGCGCCGCCTCCTCCTCCACCGCATTCGCCGTAGGCGCCCAGCTCATCGGGCCGAAAATAGGAGCTCTGCATGCTATAGAGTCGATCAATCGGATTGATCATTGGCGTCTGTGTGAAGGGACCCATCAGCTGCTGGAAGGTAGCATAGCTCAGGCCAAGAATGGTGTTCAGTATGGGCTCGCTGTTCTTGTTGCAGTTTTCTATTGATCACAGAATATGTTTAGCTGACCTGTGCTGGAACTTTGTGTTTTTGGTACTTACCCTTGTTGGTCTCCATGCAGCTGAGAGTGCCCTGCTCCTGTTCGTCCTTGATGTTGCAACGCAGCCTTGTCAGTCCGTCAGAGGCTGTGGAGAATGGCGACTCTTGTTGCGACTCGCTATCACTTTGCGCTTCGTCCTTGATTTTGGCTGTCAGACTGCTGTCATGCGACTCCTGTGAGTCCTGCGAGTGCGAGTCGCTGACACCCTTAGCGGGCGGCTCCTGTTTGGCCTTTTTCTGTATTTTCTTAACTTTGGCGCGCTGATTTTGAAACCAGACCTGAGCGAAAATTCAAATCAGAATGAACAGAATGATATTATATATATTGCACATATAAATAATATCTGCTTTACCTGTACAATTCTCAGACTTAAGCCAGTATCTTTGGCCAGATTCTCCCTGACCTTGCGACACGGCTTGGGCGACACTTCAAAGGATGCTTTGAAGGCACGTCGCTGCTGTGTGTTGAGGATGGTACGTGGCCGTTTAGGACCTCGGCGCCCATCCATTTTGGGTGGAAACAGGTCATCGCCATAATAGTCTAAGCGCATATGCTATTAGAGAGCAGTGGAAACTAGAAGATGCATTTAATGACTCACCATAGCCCTGCAGCATCTCCACCTCCTTCTCGTAGTCGAAGCGGCAGAAAAGCTGTCCCTGTTTGACCACATACTGCTCGCCCTTCTTCAGCAGCGCCCCGCAAACGACGCAGGCGAAGCACTTCAGATGGAAGATATTCTCCTGAGAGCGCATCACAAGCTCATCGGCGGCGATTTTATGGCCGCAGCCAAGGCAACGATTGCGTAAGTAGAGTCTGTGGATGGGAGTTTCATTGAGTTTCATGACAACCATATTGAACCGCTGCCACGCCCTTTCGTACCTTTCGTAGTCAATGCGGCAATAGAGTTTGCCGTCCCTCGCATAGCACGAGTGCACCAGATGCAACGAACAGGCGGAGCACTTGAGGCAGCCCTCGTGAAACGAGTTGTCCACCACGCGCATGATGTAACGATCACAAATTGGCTGGCAGCAGTAGGTGCATTGGTTGAGCGCTGGACCCATGCTAATGGCCATGCCCATGCCTCCATCTCCGGCCATGGCCATGCCCATTACGGTGTGCTGCTGCAGTATTTGAGGCGCTTGTGGTGTGTGTGGTGCGATTGATGATGTCGGCGGCGCCGGTGGTGCTGCTGAAAAACCATCCAAGTCATTGAGACTGCACTCGCCCAAGGTGATGCGGTTGCTCAGCTGCATGGGCGGACCTGGCCCGGGGCCCTGTCTACTCATTGTCAACGTCAGCGCCTGTTGTTGATGCTGTTGTTGCTGTGCGGTGGACATGCTGCTACTGTGGTTGATACAACTTCCGTTGACATTTCGGCTAGCTGACGCCATTTTGTCATTGTGGGTGTGGGAGTTGGTGGCTCCTCCTGCTGCTGTCTTGCTGCCTGTTGGCTGTTGGCAGGTCGCAGTTGTTGTTGTTGCAGCTGAAGCTGCTGCTGCTGCTGCTGCTGTTGTTGTTGCTGTTGCTGTTGCTGGTGTTGTTAACATGCGCTCATTTCCGTGCAACAGCAGTTGGCTGTGCCCCATTGCAATGGCTGCTGCGGCCGGGTGCTGCGTGTGTCCAGCTCCAGCTAAATGTTGCTGCTGCTGGTGATGGTGCTGCTGCTGCTGCTGTTGCTGTTGACATTTGATGTCCATTGGAACTATTTTGGTTTTTGCGGTTTGTCGTGGGTCCAGGCCCCAAACATGCAAATGAGAAACATTTCAGTTATTTTTATTTTCGCATTGGCATGCAAATTGCGGCTGGTCGTGTGCCCTCCTCGCAATTTACAACTGCGGCCAGTGGTTCGTGGCAAAAACTATGTCCCAAACGGGATTTGCATTTGTGGTTCCTGCACTTTTGCCCACTCTGCGCCCTGAAACTGTAACTGTAACTGTAACTGTGACTGCGACTGCGACTGCGACTGTGACCATTTGCCAACCATTTCGAGTTGTAGTAAATTTGTGGTTTTGCAATTATTGAAATGACTTTTGTAGCGAAATATGTGCGTGACCGTACGCATTCGTCTGTCCCGCTGGACGAACTGCAAATTCCACGCACTTGCCTTTCTATATATATTATGTGTGTGTGTGTGTGTGTGCGGCAATACGCTGCGTATGCGTATCGTGTTGCTGGGCCGTGTTGTATTTGTGCGATTGCGGTTGTTCGAGTTGGTGGCAAAAAATGACTGTACATTTGTGGCATTTGTGCTGCTGCTGTTGGCTGGATGGTTGGCTTTTTGTTGCTTGTTGTCTCAATTTATGGCAAATTGTTGAAATTGTACGGTAATTTGTTTGCCTCTTAGTGTGCTTGTGTGTGTGCGTGTGCGTGAGTGCCGTTTATCTTGTTTCGTTACGCGCTTTTTCAGTTGTTATTGTTTTGCCCTTATCCATAGGTTGGTTCTTTTTTATTTACACAGTGTGAAGTCCTCTGTATGTGCAGAGGACTTCACATTCAGCGTTTGTCATTTTGTATTTAAATAATTTCGCCTGTGCGTAATTTCATTAAATTTTCACAACAATTTCTGTGGCATGCAAAATTTATGCTAGAAATATGTGCAGCATTTTAAAGTAATTTACTTTATCAATTTGTGTTGCGGTCTCACGTGTAAGAAATACAATTTCTGTCATGTGCAGCCACAAATGACAATTCAAATCAAGCTACTCGACTGCCCACTGCTTAGACAGATGACAAGTGGGCAAGCAATTTAAGTTTATATGTCATAGAACAATGATGCTTATAATCTATTAAAGCAGCTAGTCAAAGAATAGTGTACTATCAGTTCATATATCAGCTATAGGAGAGTTACGTGCGATTCTTAAAAGACTTCAAAACGCTTGGCAAAGTCAAGTCTAGTCCCTGACTCACCTTAATATATGTATATAGATACCAAAATATAATGCTTTACAGAATAGACTCTTTTCAAAGCTATCAATCTTATTTAAAAATTGAACTGTCTGAGTTTGTCCTGTCTATAACTTGGGCGTCACACAGTGCGATATCCTAGCTCTTCATCTCTTCTACCCTAGTAATTCTGCTGGCTTAGAGATTCGTGCTGAAGTATAACTAAGTGAATGGGCTTATTTCTATAAACATAAACATATGGTTCGCATTTCACATCAATTGTCAGGCGCAACTGCTGGCGCATTGTATCAAAGGTCGTTCCGTTTCCCTTTTTGATACATTTAACCTCGGACACCTCCTTCAATGTGAGCTACTTTGAATTGCTGCAGTGCTAATCCGCTCAGCTGGCGCACCTGTTAGACTTTTGTCTTTTGTGCTTTGGCCTTTGGCTGCCGCAAGGCTTATCAGGATGTCAGCATGTTGGCTGGACATGTCAGCGCTTAGCAGCAATGGATTTGCGAGGACAAGTGTCACGGCAGAGGCGACATTGATAGCGCTGGCTTCGCCCTTTCGCCACACTAATTAGATTCTAATGTGCAGCAGAAATCAGGGGGGCGGTTGCGGGCACCCACCCTGCAGGGCGACTTTTGCGCTGCTTATAACTAAATTATAATAGAATTTACGAGTAGTGCGTGCGCGGTCTAAGCGAGGCACTGCAATGAATCAGTAGCTGAAGATTCAACCCCTAACCAGGGCACGCTACACCTCACTCCCATGTCTGTCAAGGGATGGGCATGGGGCAGGGGCTTGGATATATTATGTCGGTTACGGCTGCTGGCTGCTGGCTGCTGGCGGCATATGTTGGCAGTCTTCGGCAGCAGCGGGCGAGCGGAAACCCTTGCCAGGATACTGTGTGCAGCCGCTGCCGCCGTTTGTCAGTCGCTGCCGAGTTGTTGCCGGCGACTGGCGTTTAATTTAATCGGATTTGGGCGGACAAAGAAATTATGGCGCCGTTTTGCATTGCTGCTGCTGTTGTTGTTGTTGTTGTTGCTGCTGTTGTGCCAACGATACACAACATAAATGCTTTGTTTTGGCCTAATCTCTGACAGAAGTCAGCATTTGTTTTGCCCACTATAAAATGTGTCCAGATTTTTGGCATTTGGCTCGCTGCCAGCTTGACTTAAGCACACTTAGCTCAAGTGCCAAGTTGTGCAAGTGGTTCTTAGTTTTCCCTTCGCTCGTACTCGAACAATAAGTACACGAAACTATTTGACAAAAACAAAACAAAAGTATACCGAAAAATATGTGAATTTCATCAGGTATATTTATATCTTAAATAAATACTATAAATATATGTATATAAGTTCGAAGTGGTGCGATTAGGGCTATGATTCAGCTTGCAGAAACAGTGGAAAAATATATAAACATTAATTTGATAATATTAAATGTCGTTTTTATCTTCTCTTAAGCTTTGTTTATGGTTTAAAGTTTCTATTTGATTAGTTTCGATATCGAACAATTGATTGAGCTATAGTTCAGTATAGTAAATATTAGTTAAAACCTTTTGAACATAAACTTAAATTTAGACATATAAATCTTTATTTTTAATATTAATAATGGACTTTACTTGTTGTATGAAATCTTTGTTGGCATTTTCCTGTACCAAACATTTCGATCAGGATTTTTATATATATGGCTTATTGTGTTTCTCACTCAAATCAACAGTTTAAGATTTTCATAATTTAAAACTGTGCTTAGTTTCCATCACCTATGATTGCTTTAGCATGCATTTTGGTACCTTAACTTGGGGTTGAGTATTGGATTGGTTCGATAAGTTTTATTTTGTTGACAGAATATATATTTATAAATTTAACATAAGGCACACATTCTACTGAAAATGTTTTAAATAAAAAATGCTTACTTTTGCTTATCATATTTAAACTTTGTGATCTACTAATTGTGGTTAGATGCAAGAGTTGGAATGATAGATATTTTTTTATTGAACTTGGCTTTTTCTAAAAAATATTTAATAAGTTATTGCTCAAACTTCTCTAATGAGTGCTTATAACTGCCTTCAACTATATATCTATTGCTCTAATTAAACAAACTTACACATACCAATGACACGTTTAAATATTTATAATTTACTCTCGAAGATGACAGATAGTTTCATACAATAATGATCCAATAGAAAACTTGTTAAGTATACAAATAACTGCTGACTATTCTTAATTTTGTTTATATTACTAACAGTCGAATGTACTCATATTAAATAGCATATGAAAACCCGTCGGTAAAAGAAATATTTTTGAAACACCGACGGCACTTTCTCTAGAAACTTTTCAACTTATGCCAAATACTTACACAGGCCAATTTGCATTGGATGCTGTTCGTCGATCATTTTGCTAATTTGTGACGGCCAACAACAGCTCACATGCACGAATTAATCACAGGTCCGTGGCTGACCCGATCAAAGGTGGCTTAGAAATACGCTACTTCAAGTTGATTTAACAATTTATTAATACTTTTTCTTGGCACTTTTCACGTGGCTTTTATTAAAGCTAAAATGGTAGTCGCGTCAGGTGCAGTGCAGGTAAATGTGCATCGAGTGTCATGCGAATGGATGAGAGTGGCCAGCGGGAAAGGTATTGTTAGGCCAGTTACGAAACGCGATGCTTGAATGATTACGGACCTCTGATGTTAATGAAATTTGTTAAAAATCATTTGCTCACTTCGGCCAGACGTGGCCATCGACTGCTGCCTGCCTGCTCAAAGCAGGAAATTTTCTCAAAATGGAGGAGAAATATCTCTGTGTGTGTGCGACTGGGTGGTGCGCCCCCAAAACGAGCCAACGCCATTTTATGCGGCGTTTGTAGCAACATTTCCTATGCGCCCTTCCACCCAGCCGACACCAAGCCAACTCCATGTACATGGCCACACAGACAAACAGAGCCAAGTGGGTTTCCCCGCTTCGTGAGATTCGTCAGTTAGGCGCATGCGCTGATCCTGGCCACGTTCTCGTTCTCCTGGCTGCTGGTGGGCACTCGGCTTGCATTTTGGGGGCGCAACGGTTCGTTTTGCTTTTGTTTTTGCACTTTTGACTTTTGTCTTTGTTGCCATTCGAATTGTTGTTGCCATTGTTGTTGATGTCGATGTTGTTGTTGGCGTGCTTTTATTTGATTTGTTGTACGTATTTTGTATTGACAAAGGATGTTTGGCTCGGCGATTTCGTGCTGCGTCTCAGCAACAGCAACAGCAACAACAACAACAGCCGCTACATGAACATCCCTGAAGAGAGTTTTCTCTAGCTTCGAATCTATGGCAGGGCCATGGGTTCTTGCTGATTTCTTTTTCTATTGTCATACAATGTTTTAAATTTATTGATTTTTAATGCTGCCAAGACCCGTTAGCAAATTAAAGACTCCTCAGCTTTAATTGTTTCGCTCGCTTTCCGCCTGCCACGCCCACTGCCCAGCTGTTTTTGTTTTGTGTAGTTGGCCGTGTTAATGACTGATAAATGTCGGCGTGCGCGCGCGCTGCCGACACTTTAAACTTTGGCCAAATGAATTTGGTCTATTTAACGAGCTGGCTGGCCAAACTTTAATGTCTAAGCTGGAATGGCTGTGTGTCTCGTCTGGCTTGGTCTAGCCGGTTGACTGGATGCCTGACTGCCTGACTGCCTGCTTGCCTGGTGCTGCCTGCATGCCAGTCTCTTGTATTCCGAGGGAAATTCTCTTAAAGTTGTAAACGTGAACGTGTTACTTACAATTAGTGCAGGCGGGCGAGCCACTTAGTCGCCATTTACTTTGCGTGGCAGTTTCTTAGCCAGCTCTGCCCCACTTTTCGCTCTGGCGTTGGATAATCACCATAATTATGTGTTAGCTACTTTTTATGATTCATTATCATTGCCGCGGCATATGACGATTGGGTCTTATGAAAAGAAAAGTATTTACTTTAACAGTATTTTATTGCTTATTTACTTTATCTTTCAGGTATTTGTATGAGTCTAGCGTTACAATTCATTAAAGAATCTAATCAAATATTTAATTTGTATCTTTAATTTTTCACGCTCCGACTCAGCTGTCGACAGGCGGCTCTCGCTCCCACTTCATACAGCCGCTACAAAACTTGTGGCACTTTGTCGACGCGCAGCCTGGTCATAGACAAGTCAAGGTTTTTGGATGCGAGGCTGTCAGCCGAGTTCTAGATTGCTGCCGACACACACTTGCTGCCGCCAATGAATAAGATTAATTTGGGTCACTGTGCTCCACAGCTGCACCCCAGCGAGTGCTGCCGTTGAAACGTGCATCGAAATTATGAGTGCCTAACCCGTGCCTTCAAATTTAAAATGAATGCAGTTGCCCTGGCGTTTATGCCATTAACATTTCTCTCTTATATACATAATTGCTAAAGTAGATATTATTTCCAGCAGTAACTATATATGGTAATAGTAGTTATCATCAACTAACTTTTAATTAAATATTAGATATGTTTTGATATATTTTCAGAATAAGTAAAATCTGTATTTCATCGCATAAACAGTGTAAAGGATACTTGTATATTACGTAGTGGACTCGTGTGCGCGTGTGTATCTCTGTGCACATTGGTGTCAGGCAGCCAAACAGCTGAAATTGTTTGGGGTTAATTAAGCGCGACATGTGTGGCATTGTATGCATTTGTGCAGCAACTGTGGCTGCGACTGTGACTCCGACTCCAGTTTGGCGGCGCACGCCCGCAAGTGTGAATAGGCTCCGGCAGCTGGAGCCTCGGCCGCTAAACAATGCTACATAATAGACAAATTACCAGCCGCGTCGGTTCATTATGTTGCGATTGCCACCGCTGATGCATTTATGAAGCGGTTGCAACACCCACCAAGTTCTTGACTGTGTGAGGCTAAATTGATTTATGAAGCGAGCACTTCATGCTCCCCCACCCTGAAACCTGTTGAGCTAATCGGCTGCTGCGCCTATGCACTTATTAATGCTGACAAAAATAAAATAAAAATGTTTAAGAAATCGTAAAATAAATAAGATACTTGGCATTACAAATTGTTGAGATTGTTGAGATATCTGTATACATATGCCAAGCGGATGCCAAACGCCGTGGGGCGTAACGCGTGGCGACCAAAGTAATGCCTACGTTGCTGACCAGCACAAGGACCAAGAACCAGGGCCGAAAGCAATGGCAACAGGCCTAAAAATAAACAAAATCATTCACCTTAAGGCATAATCAAAGTTTATGGTTGACAAGGTACATAAACGGAGCGCTCTTAGGGCGGCTCGTGTGGTGTGGCGGAAATCTCTGTATGGCAACGTTTGAATACACCAGAGTCAATATTTACAATTGGAATATATGCACAGGTAATCATCAACAATTAGTGGCTGGTCAAACAAACATAGTATACTATAAAAATATATATACTATATATTTATAATATATATTATTCGACCATTCGTTTTTGCATTTCATCAGCTGCCAAGAACACTTTAGCGATCGCCTATTTTGCTCAGTACACAAAGCTCTTGTTATCAAGCAGAAAACTTTTAATACAATTACAAACAAGTGCATTGATGTTTATATGTATTTCGATCTATGTATGTAACAAAAGGGATCGAATGTGCCGAGTCATATAAACAAAGCATTTTTATATCATTCTGACCAAGCAGCTTTTTGCTTCGCCATTGAATGAAGCAACCAGTTCTTATATTTGCCACGCGTAAGACATACCTGACGAGTATGAGCAGCAGCTTACTGTATACATATATATGTGTTGATAAGCAAGAGAGTGGGATTGAGTGAGAGAGGGAGAGAGACAAGCGCAGAGAAAGAGAGAGCGAATGAGCTACGATGCTTTACTCGTTGAGCTGCGATCACCTATAAAGACGGCACCAACGTTAAACAATTTTTAGTTTTAGCTGCGCGCTGGTTACGAACAGTCGCAGTTGATAACAGTTAATTAAAAATTACAATATTCAAATGGCCCTTATCAAAGCACCGCTGACAGCGCGACAAATTGCGCTGCTCGGCGCCAGATCGGTGCAAACGGCGACTGTGATGAACGTGAGCTACAAATGATTGTGGAATAAAAACAATTGGATGAAATGAAATGAATGCAATTTCTCTTACAGCCCTCTGATGATGTGGCTGCTGTACAAGTGCGACCTTTTAAAGAGGTGCCTAGGCCAGGAAAATTGAAGTTTATGCGCGGCTTTATGCCAGGTGGAGAGTTTCATGATACTTCATTCATGGAGTTTACCGATGCTATGCGTAAGCGTTATGGCAATATCTTTATAATACCCGGCACATTGGGACGCAAGGATTGGGTGGCTACCTTCAATACCAAAGATATTGAGACAGTGTTTCGCAACGAAGGCATTTGGCCACATCGCGAGGGTCTCGATTCGTTGGTTTACTTTCGCGAGCACATAAGACCGGAAGTATTTGCCGAGAGGAAAGGCCTTATAGCTTCGTGAGTTGCGGATTACTTATATCAAATCATCCGGTAAAGCGTTCTTCTTATGCAGGCAACACGAGGAGTGGGGCAAGTTCCGATCAGCTGTGAATCCGGTGTTCATGCAGCCCAAAGGTCTCAAGGTCTACTACCAACCGCTGTCGAACATTAACAACGAGTTCATTGAGCGGTAAGTACACAGCGCTTTGGACAATAATCAAAAATAATTGATTTATAAATTGCTGGTAAAGCATCAAAGAGATACGCGATCCACAGACCCTAGAAGTGCCTGCCAATTTCGAGGAGGAAATGAGCCGATTGGTCTTCGAGTCGATTGCTCTGATTGCCTTCAATCGCGAACTGGGCATCATACGCAAGCAGCGTGATAACAACGACGCCTTGATACTGTTTAAAACGGCAAGGCAGACTTTTCAGTTATCTTTTAAGCTGGACATACAGCCCTCAATATGGAAATTTGTATCTACGCCCACCTATCGCAAATTAATGCGTGCTTTGAATGAGAGCTTAGACGTTGCCCAGCGCTTGATAGAGGAAAGTCGTCTGGATATGGAGCGTCGCCGCCAGGCAGGAGAACAGATCTCCCAAGCCAGCATGATGGATCGAATGATGAGTATTGATCCGAAAGCAGCTGTTGTTATGAGCCTGGACATGCTTATGGCCGGTGTCGACGGCAGTTCCACGTTTTTGTCTGCTCTCTTGCTGTGCATGAGCCAAAATCCTGAGAAGCAGCAGAAGTTGCGAGAGGAACTGCTGCGTGTTATGCCGACCAAGGATACCGTACTGGACGAGGAAAATATGAAGGATATGCCCTATTTGCGGGCTGTTATCAAAGAGGCTTTGCGCTACTATCCCAATGGAGTGGGCACCTTCCGCCAGTGCATGACAGACGTTACCCTTTCGGGCTATAATATACCCAAAGGCACACAGATTTTACTAGGTGCCAATGCTCTGCTGAAGGATGAAGCGTATTTCCCACGTGCCAATGACTATCTGCCGGAGCGCTGGCTACGTGATCCACAGACCAACAAGAAGATCCAGGTCACTCCGTTTACGTATCTACCATTCGGCTTTGGACCTCGCCAGTGCATTGGCAAGCGTATTGTCGATCTTCAAATGGAGACTACACTGGCCAAAATCATTCGCAACTTCTATGTGGAGTTCAACTACGATGCATCCAAGCCGTATAAGTCGCTATTCCTAATGGAACCAGCCATTGCTTTCCGCTTCAAGTTTACCGACGTGGAGAAATGAAGCAAATCGATTATTTTTTTAATTTGTATATAAATTTTACTTATAGAGGTGTTATCAAAACTATGTAATGTATATATAAGATAAATGTTTTTTTTTTGTTTTTGTTTTCTTATCAAATACTTGCATTTGTAAACTGATTATAGAGACTTGATACGTACATGTAATTACTGACTGCCCATTGTAAAGTCATAAATATAATTGTTATATATTTTTGTGCGGACTTTAGCTGAGCGAGATATCTGTCTAAATAGATTAAGAAGTGGTTTTGCTAAGAATGGTTTCTTAAGTTACTTAAATCATTTTCTTTATCCACTGATGCCAAGCCGTTGTGCAAGTAACTTATCATTTTTAACGCCTTGCTCGACAACAGTGGCTGTCGTCAGTCGAGCCTCGATCTGTCTTCACACAGCAGCAACAATATTTTTGGCACGCAGCCTAGTCTTTAGACAAGGCAAGGTATTAAATGTGAGCCTGTCATTCGAGCTACATATATATTCACGCCAACTGCTAAGCTATATTTGGATCACTGTGCTTCCCTTTACACTGCGCTTCCCTTTACCAAACAGCTGTAAGAAGTTCATATATTTCTAGTTTGATCAACAATCCTGCCAATGATTCAATAAAATATGTAAATTTAATGAAAATTGTGAGCCACGACAAATATCATGCCTGATATATTCATTTAATGCGTGTCAGGCAGCCATTTCATGTATTTTATATGTATTTATTAACGCTGGCAAAAACGCAGTGCCAGAAATCGCAGAATAAATAAAATACTTGGCATTACAAATTGCTGCGATTTTGCCTGTGACAGCCCCATTCCAATTGCAAAAGGATGCCAAACGCTGTGGGGCGCAACGCGTGGCGAGCAAAAGTAACGCAGAATTATGCGTGCGTTGCTGACCAGCACAAGGACGCAGCCACATGGTCGAGAGTATCCTTGTTGTTATTCCAACGGCAACAGGCCTAAAAAATAAACAAAATCATTCACCTTAAGGCATAATAAAAGTTTATGGTTGACAATATACATAAAGAGGACGCCACTGTTGGGGAGTTTCGTGTGGTCTGGCAAAACAATGCCCGGAGCTTGGCTCCGGCAGTTTAAGCGGAAATCCCTGTATGGGAACGTTTAACGCTATTAAAGGATTTGCACTTGGATACAGCCAGCGTCAATATTTGCCGCCAGTTGGCTGGCTGACTGCGTTTCCAATAACCATTACGGAATTGCGAAAATTTGCGCACAGCTTCGCACAGCGGGCAAAAACAAATAGTTTCGCACACTACAAATACAACACTTCCTTGAAACTGTCCCATTTTAAGGGCGACTTTTCGGGGGAGTCGGGTCACATCAGCACCAACGTCAGACGAGTTGCGTCTGTCTCCTGCCCACATGTCTGTCGCTCAGCATGTGACTTCCAAGGATCTGAGTTTTGTATTCAATTTATAAGATTTGAAGGCCTGTGCGACTTTGCCTGGATGCCGATTTGCTGTTTAGCTCACTCAATTTCTCTCGTGTTCGTTTTGACGATTATGGCAAATCCCATCTTAAAGGCTTTTTCCATCATCGTCAGCGCAATCTTTTGTATTTTGCGCTGTAAACTCTTTTTATTTAACCTTTATGATATTTTCTGTGTGGGTAGTTAAGATACTCTTTTGTGAGTTGAATAATGCCTTGCATAACTAGAATAAATTGCAGGTGGAATTTATGAGCTCTACGATTTTGCTTAATATTTTTCAATATTTTAATACATATTTTAAATATTTACAATTCAGTTGTACCTTTAGATATCGTATTTTAAAGCTACTGTTGCTAAAAAGTCTGTTGCTGCTGTTTGCAAATGGATCAAGGATATTTACCGAAGGCATGGGCTAGATATTCCTGAGATATGTAAACAGCACTGAATGTAAACAGTTCAAATCAAATAACATACACAAAAACGCTGTAAAAAGCAATCCACACACATACAGGCATACAGATATATATCTATATATACTAGCGTACATACACTTGGGCAAGATACAGCAAACAAGCGTTAGGAACAGAAAATGAGCAAGCGACTAACCTAAGGACAACAAAATAAACATTTTGAACTCGACTGAAATGTGAAAGCGCAGCCCCAAGGACACTTGGGGCGTTCGCGCTGCCTGTCGTCTGCCTGCTGCCTGCTGCCTGCTGCCCGATGCCTTCTGCTTGCCGCTTGCTAGTTGATGCCGGGCAGAGGCCCGCTTGATCCTGTAAAGGCTAAGCGCAAATATTACAAGCATTATATGAATGTCTATGCTTATGTTAGTGTATGTGTGTGTCCATGTATTTAGAAGCCAGCAACATGCTGAGCCAACAACAACATAGGCAAGAACAGCACTCTGGGTGATGCCAACAAAAGTGTAGAAAATCCGACCAAGCACAAAAACCGACTCAGCACATTTCGGAACAACCAAACACGCAGTAAACCCCAACAGCCCACACAGCTCCGACCTCAACAGTAACAACAACAACAACAACAACAACAACAAAAGCAACAGCAATGGCATCGCCAGCTCAGGCTCAGCAAGTCATCAGCACATAAAGCTCGAAAGATTATGTAGCCCACGGCGTGGTGGCAGCCGCACCCACCAACAGCGGCTGCGGAAGTGATGCATGACTCTGATGGGGTACGTCGGTTATGCGGGGCAGTGAAACTGGCTCTGGCTCTGGGATTGGGGCTGGCGCCGTGTCCGGGGCAGGAGCTGGAGCCGGGGCTGTGGTATTAGACGACAATAGAGCTTTGGGGTTGGGAATTCTGGCTTGCCTTTTTGTGCTCCCAAGCCTTGTGACGTTTGACGCCATGTTTGATGGATGAAAAAACCATTCATGTTACCAGCTGGGGCGCAGAGGTTGCTCGGTTGGCTGTCGCTCAATGTGTGCCACTGTGTGTGTGTGTGTGTGTGTGTATGCAAAGATGGCGCAATAGACGTGAAGTAACCACCTCCTGTGGCGCAACTAAATCCTTTTGGATTTTACCCGGCCAGCGCTGTATGTTTTAATGCGCATTTTATGAGTGTGTAGGTAAACGCTAAGCTGCCGTGGATCGCTTGCCAGCAGAAAGGAGCGGGAGGCACCGTTCTGCTTTGCCTTTAAAGTGCAAGCGCGTTTGTTTTAAGTTCTAAGGCACTTATTTGTTTTTGTATATTTTTTGTGTGTGGCTCCACACTGTTTGCTCCCCTTTTGTGACTTTTGGCACTGCCAACTGCCGAGCTGTCAGCTGCATGCGAACCAAAGTCAACAGCCACCGCACCATGCGCCCCACTCCGCTTGACATTTGGCAAATTTCGTTGCATAAAACGCAGGTGGCTCTGCAACTGGCGCCACGCCCACCTGGGCGCTGTGGGCGCGGCATTAGCATAATTTTGCATAGCGCCAGCTACTTTGGCCCGCTCGCATATTTCACGCAAGTGCTGCATATTTTTGTGTGGGCGACACTTAAAACTCAAAATGAAGTCGCTCGGCTTCCGGACTAGTCCTGGCCACATGCAAATCCGGTGTGAAAAATGCGCGTATTAATAAATGTGTGTAGATGAGCCACACCCTCGCTCTAACTGTGGGCGTATGCCAGCAGTCATTTAGAGGCAAGCACTCGTGCCTCTCGCTTTTTATTTCCGACTGCTTAGCACGGCAATTTACATTTCAAATTAGCGACTTCATTGCTAGAAATTGTGAAATTACATTTCATTTTCATTTTCATTTTCATTATGGGGCCGGCCGGCTTGCAAAAGTTTTGATCCTGCGGCTGCGGCTGCCACTTGCTGTCCCAAAAATTGAAGTTCTAGGCTTGGACTGCGGCAACGGGACTTCGGCTTAGCCACACTGTCCAGTGGCGTTTACTGCTGCGCTTTTGCTATGCTAATAAATTAATATAAATTCAAATTTGTTTGCCAACTGCTGCCGTCTCGGCCTGCCAAAGTGTTATGTTTGTCAAAAAGGCCAAATCTACGGCAAAATGTTCTCAAGTTTCATAAAAATCGTCAATGAAACAGGCACCCTCTAAAGCACATGCGACAACTACATCGCTGCCCCATCCATCCGCAGAGCCGCAAGTGTTGGCTGCTTGAATATTCAATGGCTACTTCCGCACTTGGACTGAAGCCCCACTTTGGGCCGCCAAACCGCTCGAGCGGTGGGTAAAGTGTTTTAATAAGCACGAACAGACTCAAGACACGCCAAATGAAGGGCAACCAGTGGAATTTGGGTAATCTCAGAAGGTCTCAGCAAGAAATACTGCCCATAATCATAGATATGCTATTCATAAAAACGATTCTAATATTTTTGAAGTCTCCAATTCGAATAGTTGGCATCACAAATACCCTGCATAAGTATGACAACTTCGGCAACAAGATTAAAATACTTTTTAAATAGGATGGAAATTAGTTAACTTCAACAGTTATCTGAAATATTTGATTGCTATTTAACTTAGCTTATCTTTTCATTTGAAATACATATTTACCTATTGGCAACGAAATGAGAGGCTCAGTAGACCAAATCTACCCTATGATTTCTCTATAGCGTATTTAAATCGTGAAAGGGCTTAATGTCTAAGGGCTGCTGGCTGTGACTTCGACATCTCCGACTTCGTCGGCTGCTAGGCCAACGTACGTAAGGAAAAAATGTACGCGCATTGCTCGAATATGCGTGGAATTCGATGGGGCTGCATACATGAGAGTTCTGCCAAGCCAGACGTACATATACCCTTAACATTACTCGCATCCCGCAGCCCTCATCCTCGCCCGCACCCTCGCCCTGTTCGCACATTCCGTTCAAGCGAGCAACCCTTGCAAACCGTGCGGAACGGGACATTAGCCACGCGCATTTAGCCAGCAATCATTTAACAATTTACAAATCGATGTTTAAACTGCGCTTGAGCTGTCCGCTGGGCCAACTTACCGCATCTGCATTAAAACTTTGGCTTTAACGTTAATGTCCTGGCGAAAAGCACACAAGACTCTGCGTGCCGGCATTTGAAGCCATCGCCTGGGCCAGCAGCCGTTAATGCCCGTCCGACTGTCATAACAATAACGGCATTTTTAGCAC